TATTTTTACCTTATCAAGCCATACTTAAGTCACATCATATTAAGTATCCATTAAAAAACTATTTCTTCAATATTGTAATCCTTGCTTGAATATCTTCTAGATATAAATGTTGAGATCAATCAAGCTTTAGTTGGATTCATATAGATTGAGATATATGAATCAACATCAATATAGTCAAGCCAATTCACGATTCCTTATATCATCTTCATCTTGGCTTAACACTCCTAACACTCACTTCAATATCTATCTTCATACTTCTAGCTTGATCAAAGCAATGCAAACTGATTTTTCAAATCTTTATCCATACAAGCGAACCAACATAGAGACCGACTTATATCCAATATGAGTTGTGTCCTTTGTCATTTAAACATTTGCTTGGTATTTCTTCACTTATGTATTCTTAACTCATTCTTCAATCCTTGATTAAACTCTTCTTGTTCATGCAAAGCAAGCCATTATTGAGACCAATCCAAAATCATCAACTCATGTCTCTTTTAACATTTGCCAAATATGCTTGCTTTCTCATGATACTATGATATTTCTCAACATAGAAGCCATTTCATCAACTCTATTTGCATTGTTGTCTTTCTCTTGAACTATATTGTTTCCGTAATCTTCCAACACAACAATACACAATTTTGGCCTTGATTTGGACACTATGTGGAATATCATCAAGTTTGCCTTCTTGTTGAACTTATATACACTTCTCATTCCACAGTCCACAAGTGTATGCAATAAACTTAATTTTCTGTTCAACACTAAGCAAATTTGTTAGACTTTTAATGATGTTGTCATTCAATTCACCAAAACTCACTAAAGGGCTAGATGCACTTACACATACCTCTTGTGGCAATTGAACAACCAATGATCCATTGATAATTTCATTAAATAGAGAAAGAATCAATATCCAGCTATGATGCACTATATAATTAGAAAAAAATCCATTTACTACCACTACATTGAACTAAATCTTTTCAAATTGGGTCCCTAATTAAGCTCAGTGAGCCTCTTTCTCTGCAGAAACCTTTCTAGGAGCTCCTTTGTAAGAAGAATGGTGATATAGTATTGTGGACATATCCCTTCGCTGTTATTACATCCATGCTAATTTAGATGTTTGATCTTCAAGCTGGTTCGTTTGTGAAACTTCTCAGCATTTATTAATAAGTTGATCTGTCACTTTTTAATTTTCATTTGTTATTGCATTGGCTATTGTGCTATATTTTTATGTAAAGTTCTCTTAAATTAGACACAAATCACATTATACCATAACCTTCAAAGAACAATTTTGTAACGTAATCCTTCTCTACTTTGTTTCTTGACAATAGGTGCCAGGAACATAGGCCGGCTCAGGACTATATAATATGATTTGGAGTCTTTGCAGGGTACAAGCTACCCCACTCATTATCATGTTGTGTGGGGCTACAACAATTTGCTGCTGATGGTGACAATTTATATAGTATTTTGTTAAAAGGTTACATTTTTAAATGGTTGTAATCTCCTTAATTTTCAGTTGAATAATTTGTTTATTCCTTTGCACTATCTCTGAGTATGGTTGCAGTTACTTGGCTATAGATCAAATACAATTTTTTAAATAATCTGTGCACCGAATATGGATGTGTTTTGAAATAAACATGGTGACTTGATTTTCACTTTGCTAGCTTTTTTACATTATGTAATGGGGGAGGCCAATGATGAAGAAGAGTTATAAAAAATGACATTATCGTTCCTCAGATGTTTATGAATTTTTTAATAGACACGTGCATGTCGCTGTGCACCGAATACGAATGTGTTTTGAAATAAACATGGTGACTTGATTTTCACTCTACTAGCTTCTTTACATTATGTAATAGGGGAGGACAATGATGATGAAGAGTTGTAAAAAAATGACATTATTAATGTTTATGAATTTTTTTAATAGACACGTACGTGTCGCACCTGTATGGCCACTAGTTTATATAAAAAAGTAATAACATTCATGATACAAAATAAGTATCATTGAATTCGTTATAGGATATACTTTTATAATAAATTTATTTAGAGACATAAACATTAATACTGTTTACTATAAATTTGGTCAAACTTGAACTAGTATGATCAGCACGAATCACATAGTTGCATTCTTTACTGGATGGAGGGAGTACATTCCTTGTTAGCCATGTTGTCCAACAAATAGGAGCACCTCCAATCCACCAAAAAGGTTTATTAGAAACCTCCCTTGTTTGTACCAGCCATAAAAAGGACCATGAATATCTTTTAGCAAAATAAACTGAGGAATTTAGCATAATACAATTTAGCATGAATACCTTTTAGCAAAATAAACTACATTCCTTTTTGCTAATAAGTTGTCTTTGGTTAAAATAACCTCCTTAGGAACTATAGACGTTTTTTAATTTTAAGTGATTTCTTTAATCATCAAACTTTATAGGAAAATCTTTGTACCTGTGCTATCCTAGGTATGAACTACTTTTTTAGCAAGTAACTACTGTTTAAGCAAGTAAAAAAACATATCTTTCCCTTTCCGCAAATCAATGTTCATTTGCTTCAGTAAGTTGGCTCACTGCATATTGCCAGGAGAGTAGCCTGCTTCGTTGTCGAAAACGACTATAGCACAAACAACTAATCATTTTTTACTAAATTTTTTGGAAACCTCAAAATATATCTTCATGATTTATAAATATCTTATTTGAGTTTCTCATTTCCCAATCTATCTCTAGGTTTTTATCTCAAAAAACTTAGAGGCTTGGAGATATTTCCATTATTTAAAAATCTTATTAAGTATTTACTGAATTTTTAAATAATGGAAATCTTATTAAGTATCTAAAAATTCAGTAAATACTTAATAAATTTTTTAAATAATGGAAATATCTCCAAGCCTCTAAATTTTTTGAGATAAAAACCTAGAGATAGATTGGGAAATGAGAAACTCAAATAAGATATTTATAAATTATGAAGATATATTTTGAGGTTTCCAAAAAATTTAGTAAAAAATGAAAATATATAGAGAATCTAGAAAGTTTTCAAAATATTCTGATCAATATCTAACATGTATTAAAAACATTCCACAATAAATAAATTAGTTTGAACCAGCACAAATGAACATATAATGCATCTCATGTTTTCATTGTATAAAGTTTTAAGAATGTTTTTGGGAATTTTCCTGATTTACATGGATATATTTCCTATTTTCTAAAGTTAATTCTAATTCTTTTAAGCTTTTAGATACGTTTTCATGAGGTGTAAATATTTATTTGGATTCATCGTATCCCAATGTATGTCTAGGGTTTTTCTCAAAAGTTCAAAGATATTTTTCGTGGTTTAAAAACGTTAACATATATTTACTATAATTTCTAATTAAAATAACAAAATAACCTTGAAAACCACATTACCAGGCTGGGAGGTAACATAAGGGTGTGTTTATCCATGGATGGGACATGGATATCCATGGATACAGGGTGTTTGGTTGGATAGACAAACTGAACCTGGATATCCATAACAGGAAATAGTCTGGGTAGATGCTGGATATCTTAGCCCTCAAAAATATGGCGGATGAGGATATCCACATGTTGATTAGCGCATGTTTTGTGTGACAATTAGAATAGTATGGTGCTAATTAACATATTTTATTTTTAATTGGTGATTATAATGACAAGATTAGTGTCGGTGCATATTTATTATGGTATAATAGTTGTTATTATTTTTAAATAATATATATAATTAGTCAAGTATTCTCATCCCATGCAATCTCATCCATCAAACAAACAGAAAAATAGCTCGCCCTATCCATCCAACCAAACAAACAACATGGATATCCATATCCTGAAATCCATGAATGGTCATATCTCATCCACCCGTCCTCCAACCAAACACACCCTAAGTGGTTGGTTTTTGAGAGATATAAGAGAGGCAGTTTGATCGGTTTTGAAATTCGAGGAGAAAACCTAAAATACGACCATAGGTCACGGAGAGAAAAGTAGAAAGTATTTTTCCATGACTAGGGAACATGGGTGGGCAGCCTCACAGTCATCAGAGCAAGGCATTGTCTCGTCTTTGTGGAGTTAAGAGTGTGTTTGGTTTTGAGATGAAGGAGATGCAATGGTAAATAACTCTGTTTTCTGGGCTAGGAAGGTCCTAGTTTGGTGTTTGGTTAACGGAATAGACTCATCCTTGTTTCCTTTTTCCTAAATACTAGTTTCCGGTTACGCGTGCGTTAGCGCTACAGAATGCGTACCGCTCTCTGCCGCACAATTACCATCCAAGGGCTACACAGAGGATCTTATCCTCTCGTTCTGGTCAGGCATCCTCTTCCTCACCGTTCACTCGCACAGGCGCTGCCTCCGCAGAGCACATCGGCTCTCTCCCCATCTCCAAATCGTTGACGTCTACCAACGAATGACTAGCGGCTGGCGCATGCCTGGGTTCCGCCCGCGGAGGATTCGGCAAGCCGCAAGCGGATCACCTGCATGTAGTAGCATAGGTGCGCGACGATGCCCGCAAACCAAATATGGAAGGTGGGTGGGAATAGTTTCCAAATATGAACTATGCATCTGGATCTCTTAATTATTGCATGCCCGTGCTGTAGTAAAGTTCTTCTTTTTTTTCTTTGGTTGAAGAAACAAAGAAAGAGGCACAACCGAATGCAGCACGCCATCGGTGTTATCACTCAATCTAGGCCCGCGCAAACACGAAAAATCTCTTCAACCGACTGTGGCGGTGCAGGCCGATGTCTCGTGTCCGCTCTCCAATCCGTCCGCTCACCGCTGCTGCTTTCGAGCCCGCTCACGCAGTCCATTCGTTGGGGTTGGGCATTCGCCCCGGCCCATGGATCCGAGACTCCGGTCGGACAACGTCGGTGCACGGTAACCGAGCTACCGAGGAACGCTCGGTGCCGACTCCGATTCGTGTGTCGCATACTCGCATTGCCTCCCGAGCCAGTAAATCTCCTGTATAAAATTGACGCACCGCGTCCGTGTCACGGCAAATCAGTAGCCCTAGCCGCGATCATGTACGGCTGCGACGTCGCGAGAGATCCCGTGAACATGCTGGCGAAACCCGTGCCGCCCTACGGCAGGCGCGCCGACCTCGTGCCCAGGCGGCAGGAGGACTTCGGCGCCTTCCCCGAGGTGCACGTCGCGCAGTACCCGATCTCCATGGGCCTCCGCGAGGCGGCGCCGGGATCCAGCGATGTGCTGGCCGTGACCGTCGACGCGCGCGGCCGAGTCGCGTTCGGCGCGGTCGTCCGGCAGGGCGAGAACGCCGCCAAGATCGTCTACTCCAGCCACGCCGACCTCGTCCCCAGGATCGCTCCTGCGCCCGATCATCAGGACGCTGATGACGAGGACGAGGAAGAGGTGGAGGCTACCACCGCCCGGACGCGGGCCGCGCTGCAGGCGATCATCGACGCTCTCCTGCCCGCTGCGCAGCCGGCGAGCGTCGTCCGGCCGCCGCGTAGCCGGGACGATCCAACGGTTGTCAAGTACAGGCCGGCGCGGCAGCTGGCGGCGTTCAACTCGGGCGCGGAGGAGCGGATCGTGAGGGTGGAGCACGCGCAGGAGGACCCGGTCCTGCCGCCCCAGCACAGGCACAGGCGGGTGCCGCGCCCGGCCGGGTCGCCTCCCGTCACCGTGATGCACTCGCCGCCGCGTCCCGTGTCGCGTGAGGACATGTCGGACTGGAAGATCGCGCCCAGAGTTTCAGACTGGAAGAACTCTGGCGGGTACTGCATCCCGCTAGACAAGCGGGTGGCGGCAGACGACCGGCGGATGCAGGACGTGCAGATCAGCGACGGCTTCGCCAGCCTCTCAGAGGCGCTGTACGTCGCGGAGCAGAAGGCCAGGGAGGCCATCCAGACGCGCGTCAAAGTGGTCAAGGAGCTGAAGATGAAGGCGAAGGAGCAGCGGGGACAAGAACTGCGTGAGATCGCGAACAGGGCGCGCGCAGACTCCGACGCTGCTGCGGCGCCGCCAGTTCGCGCAGTGGATGCGGAGTTGAGCCAGCAGAGGATACAGCGCGACATGGTACGCGAGGAGCGGCGGCGCCAGAGGGAGCGTGAGAGGCGTCGAGCGGCAAGAAGAGCAGGGTCACGAGAGACGGGGACCGGGACGTCAGTGAGAGGATTGCCCTGGGCATGGCTAGCACCGGAGGCGGCGCCGGCGCAGGTGAGGTCGCCTACGACGAGCGGCTGTTCAACCAGGACTCGGGGATGGACTCCGGGTTCGCCGCGGATGATCAGTACAACGTCTACTCGGGGAGGCTCTTCTCCGTGCAGCCGGCGGCGCTGTCGATGCTCTACAGTCCCAACAAGCACGGTGACTCTGATATATACGGCGGCGCGGATGAGCAGCATATCGAGAAGAGAACTAGGACGGACAGGTTCAGACCTGACAAGGTGTTCTCTGGCGCTCCGGAACGGCCGGTCGGCAAGAGGGACAGGCCAGTTGAGTTCGATATGCCTGAGGATTGTGGAGAAGCCGATGATCCCTTCGTCGAACTTGATCAGTACATGGCTAAAGGTGAAGGAGGGGAAGAAACATTGAGAAGATGGTAATAGCTAGCGCTCCTGTGCTATGAACTAGCTGGAGCATATGCTTCAGGTGAAACATGCGATTTTGTTGTTTATATGATCTTGGGTCAAACGTTTGGCTGAAATTCTGTTAGGCTCTCTGCTTGTTTTGGTAAAATTGGTCTTGATAGTTCACGGATTTTTCAGTTTTTTGACGCCCGTTGTTCTGCATTTTAAGGGCATGCCCTTGTCCATATACATTGCAACAAGATAAATTGTTTAAAAAGTTTTACAGCCTCCAAATGACCTGCGGGCATCCGTTGATAACCAAAACTCCAAAAGCATATCGAACTCACAGTATCTCATACATACTTGATTTTTCTTCTTTCATTCAGATGTTTTGACTTTGTGATTTTTGAGTAGTAGCGTGTTTCAATGTTCTTTTATTTTCAAAAATAGTCCTCTTTTAGCGAGCCATGAACTTGCCCATCTAAAGCATGCCACAATTTTTTTTGTCATCAAACATAGAACTATCATGTCCGTTTAGATCGTTGGAATAGGAATTCATTCTTCTAATAATCATAATTAGGCATAGGTTAATAAGTTAATATGGTTGTATATATATATATATACATACATACGGGAGTGAACCGAAAAGCATGCTATAAGTTGTAAAGTAGAAATATATAATGGTGATCTATATAGAATCAATATTTATCTCCCACCCCATAAATTTGACATAGGCTTATAGGTGAACTCTGAAAAGTTATGGAATATCAAATTTCAAGCCAAACAACCCACTCCGTCCGTCCTGCAGTATAATGTATTCTAGCATTCAAAAATTATCCTCAAATATAATGCATTCTATAGGACAAAAACCAGTTTTGCATTAAATACTTTCCATTTATCATTCAATCACCATTAATCACGTTGATGATAGTGTCTCATTAGGAAATAAAATAAGGGTACATGCGTCTTTTATATTCTCTCTTAGTTTGTCTTAAAATTCCTAGAATGCACTATATTATAGGAAAGAGGGAGTAGTTCCTTAAGTAGAGCTCAATTCCGCCAAAATGATAGGATCTAAACGGCCCATTAGGGTGTTTAGTTTGAGAAATCACTCCATCCTAGATGAGGTGGTGCATCATGAGTCCATTCCTCAAATTTGGTGGAATGACTTCGTTTCTCTCACTAGTACTAATTATTAGTTTAGGAGGAATAAGATGACGATAGATTAATCCATTCCATTTTACAAACCACACAAAATATGAGGAGTGAGTAGATGATGGACTAACTCATTCTACAAACCAAACACATATATAAAAAAAGTAGCTTATGAGGAATGATGTGACGATAGATCAATCTATTTCATTCCACAAACCACACAAAAAAATAAGAAGTGGGTAGTGAAGGGGACCGTGACGCCTAAGAGAGGGGTGAATTAGGCAACTTAAAATTCTAACTCTAAACTATGGCCTCATTTTCTAATCCTAGCAAAACCTATGCGAAAGATAAATTATTTAAATGTGCAACTACGGTTTTACTAGTGTGTTGCTATCTCTACCGCAAAAGGAGTAATACAATTAATGTAAATGCGGAAGCTAAAGAGCAAGGTAGAGATATACAAACTCCCGTCGATGACTCCGGTATTTTTACCGAGGTATCGAGAAGCGCGCAAGCTTCCCCCTAGTCCTCGTTGAAGCACCTCACAAGGAATCTCTCGCAAGGGCCAAGCTCCCGGTCGGGTAACTCCGTGGATAGCCTCGGGCCTTTCCCACACGCAAGTGGGTCTCCGACGTGCTTTCCGGCAAGCCTCTCCCGGATGCTCCACGCCGTCTTCACTATCAAGCTTCGGGCTGAAACGCCACGGGCCTTGTTCCCTTCGGTACACGGTGGCGGCCACACCACAAACATGGTTGGTGTGATCTTGCAAGACTACAAGCCCCTCCGATGTACAACAATGGTGCGCGCAAGCACCAAGTGGTAAGAGGTATGCAAACCTCACTAAACACTAGGCCTAAACCTAGAGCAAGCGCATAAGCGGTGGTTTAATCAACCTAAGCACTTCGCAAAGCACCTACGCTAATAACCTAATAAAACACTAAGCACTATGCAAGTGTAGGTCACTAAAATGGTGTATCAACACCCTTGGTATGTTTCCTCAGCTCCACACTTGCCAAATGGCCGGTTGGGGGTTGTATTTATAAGCCCCACTGAGAAAGTAGCCGTTGGGGACGAAATCCCGCTTTTCTGCTACTGACCGGACGCTGAAGTCATCCTGATCGGACGCGTCCGATCGTCCCGACCGTTGGAGCCGCGAACCACTAATCAGACGCGGCCAGCGTCCGGTCACATGCCACCGGACGCGTCCGGTCGCAAGTTCGCCACTCTAGAACCGCTCTGTACTCGATCGGACGTTGCTGTCCTGCATCCGATCGGTTTGCCGCCAGCGTCCGGTCGCTGCTGCTGTTGCCGAGCCTTTGATCGGAGCATCCGGTCGCTTTTTGTCAGCGTCCGGTCCAGCGTCCGGTTGCTGCTGTGAGCTCATTTCTTCGCGATCTTGCGTGCGGCTTGGTTCCTATCTTCATGCTTGAACTTTGCTTGATATCTTGAGTCTTCTCTTGTGCTCCTAAGGTCTTTCTTGAGGTGTTGATCATCGGATCATCACATCGCCTTTGTCTAAGTCATGTCTTGCATCCTATTGAACTACAAAACCATCACTTATAAATTCATTAGTCCAATTTAGTTGTGTTGGTCATCAAGCACCAAAATTCAAAGTAAATGGACCTAGGGTCCATTTTCCTTACAATCTCTCCTTTTTTGGTGATTGATGACAACACGACCAAAGCAAGCAAATAATAAAATTTTGAAATTTAAAAACTACCTACTTGCTAGGATGTAATACAGGGGGCAAGATTATATGATGCTAAAAGATACTACTAGTAAGACTATATAAAAACTTATCTTATCCTTGCAAATGTCCCTATGTGGTATTATGGATTTAAGCCTTGCTTCCTATAAATTCTCCCTATTACATAGGCTAATCCATAATCTACTATCCTCCCTTTTTCGGACCATTACTATAAATTAATGCTTGCTTTTGGTCCTCTAAATTCTTCCCCTTTGGAATCAAACACAAAAAGGAAGACATTAGTAGCACAAGGGAGGGTTAAACTTTGTGAGCCTTTATATGTAGAGTGGAATAGGTCACAAAATTTGACTCTCACATTATATAGATTAAGCTCCCCCTAAATATATGCATACATATGATAGAAAGCAAAGTATATGCCTAATTAGCAAGTTATTGCTTAAGAGAATTTAATCTATATAATGCATGGAGAAAGCATATAAATATCAAAATGAAATCAACATGATGATATTAGTTTAGAAATACCACATGTGGAAACCAAATTGATTTCTACCACTTACAAATAGGTGGTGGATATTTGAAGTATGATGCTTAACTCCGGGGACTCCATTTTCCTTGCAATGAGACTACTACACATATGATAAGCTTGAAAAGGTGTTAGTCTCAAAACATCCAACTTGTAGAGTAACCTCCCCCTAAATTTGTGCACACAAGTATGGAAAACTTGTAGAAAACATGCACATTGATTTTAGAATCAATAATACCACTTGAAATATGACATCACAAGAATGTAAGAATCATTTTCGAAGATAATATTCAGGAGAAATTATCTATAATTTGGACTTTGGCACATATTAGATAAATAATCAAAAGACAAGCTATGTGCCGTGCTCCTAAATAAATTTAAACCATGTAGGTTTGCTTCAAGGATTAAGAGTGAAACCGAGCAAGCCTACCATAAGATATACCTAGTGTATGCATGACAAAAGATATAAGCATGCAAATGCAAACCTAGACATGAAGGGTAACTAGATGCTAAAAGATACCAATTGTAGGAAAATTTAAATCTAATACCAATTGAAGTAAATTGAATCTAGTTACCTAATATGGGAAGGGGAATTTAGGTGCATAGTATCCACTAACCCACTTGGTAATAACTTTGTCCATAATGATGCACCCCATGAAATGCATCCATACTTTGCCAAGTCTCCAAATTCCTCGTCGTCCATAGGACTTCTCACTTCCCTTTCGGGGTCCAAACCTTTTTGGTGCTCTTCTTGTTGGAGATGATTTCCTTTGGCACCCAAAAGCGTTTGACCCCATTGTTGGCTTGTTTGTTCACCTTGATAGCCATCACCTTGTCATTTTTCTTCTTCTTTAGCAAGTATGGTGTGAGGCCTTTTTGTCCACCTTGTTGGTGTAGGTGTTGGAGAGCTTTCTTGTTTGCTTTTTCTCTTTCTTCTTTGCTCCTCCCCCATTCTTCACCTTGCACTCATAGGACTTGTGACCTTCCTTGTGGCACACATAGCAAATCACGATTTGTCCTTCATCAAGCTTCTTCACTCCCTTGATAGTGTTATCTTGATGAAGTTGGGCTTGCTCCGCCTTGCCTTTCACTTGTGTTAAGTCCTTCGTGAGGCGAGCCACTTCTTGCTTGAGTTGCTCATTCTCCATTGCAACCTCTTATGTGCATGTATCTACAACAACTTTCTCAACACAAACTTGGTTGCACAAGGGTGAGTCTAAGTATAAATCATTGCAAGAAGTAGAGGTATCCTTTTTAGGCATGTTAAAGATAGAACTTTTCTTTTTAGATGCCTTGGTGGGGGTTGAGTTAACGGCTTCAAGATTAACAACTTTATTAGTTAGCTCATCACAATGTTTGCACATGGTTTCCATTTTAGCAAGCAAACTTTTATAAGCATCTTGAGAGCTAACTAACTTTTCTTTTAATTTTTCATTTTTCTTTACAAGTTGCTCATCATTTATTGTGCATTAATTTGTTGTTGCACTAGCCTTAAGTTGCTCAATTTTAGTAGATAGTCCAACATTGAGATTAGCAAAGTTCTCATATTGTTCAAGCAAAGTTTTGTATGCTTCTTATGAACTATCTATCTTTTCTTTTAATTTTTTGAGCTTCTTTTGTTAACTAGTGCAAACTTTAGCATATTTAAGA